CTAAAGTTCTACAAATATGAGCACCTTCTGAGTTCTGAGCGGGATCATCCTGATGCTATATGTCCTAGATTCTAAATTTTTTTAAATATGAGCACCTTCTGAGCGGGATCATCCTGATGCTAAGTGTCCTAGATTCTAAAGTTCTACAAATATGAGCACCTTCTGAGTTCTGAGCGGGATCATCCTGATGCTAAGTGTCCTAGATTCTAAAATTCTAAAAATATGAGCACTTTCTGAGCGGGATCATCCTGATGCTAAGTATCCTAGATTCTAAATTTCTACAAATATGAGCACCTTCTAACTTCTGAGTGGGATCATCCTGATGCTAAGTGTCCTAGATTCTAAAATTCTACAAATATGAGCACCTTCTGAGCGGGATCATCCTGAATCCTGATGCTAAGTATCCTAGATTCTAAAATTCTACAAATATGAGCACCTTCTGAGCGGGATCATCCTGATGCTACGTATCCTAGATTCTAAATTTCTACAAATATGAGCACCTTCTAACTTCTGAGCGGGATCATCCTGATGCTAAGTGTCCTAGATTCTAAAATTCTACAAATATGAGCACCTTCTGAGCGGGATCATCCTGAATCCTGATGCTAAGTATCCTAGATTCTAAAATTCTACAAATATGAGCACCTTCTGAGCGGGATCATCCTGATGCTAAGTATCCTAGATTCTAAATTTTTACAAATATGAGCACCTTCTAACTTCTGAGCGGGATCATCCTGATGCTAAGTATCCTAGATTCTAAAATTCTACAAATATGAGCACCTTCTGGGCGGAATCATCCTGATGCTAAGTATCCTAGATTCTAAATTTTTACAAATATGAGCACCTTCTGAGCGGGATCATCCTGAATCCTGATGCTAAGTATCCTAGATTCTAAAATTCTACAAATATGAGCACCTTCTGAGCGGGATCATCCTGATGCTAAGTATCCTAGATTCTAAAGTTCTACAAATATGAGCACCTTCTGAGCGGGATCATCCTGATGCTAAGTATGCTAGATTCTAAATTTCTACAAATATGAGAACCTTCTTACTTCTGAGCGGGATCATCCTGATGCTAAGTGTCCTAGATTCTAAAATTCTACAAATATGAGCACCTTCTTAGCGGGATCATCCTGAATCCTGATGCTAAGTATCCTAGATTCTAAAATTCTACAAATATGAGCACCTTCTGAGCGGGATCATCCTGATGCTAAGTATCCTAGATTCTAAAGTTCTACAAATATGAGCACCTTCTGAGCGGGATCATCCTGATGCTAAGTATGCTAGATTCTAAATTTCTACAAATATGAGAACCTTCTTACTTCTGAGCGGGATCATCCTGATGCTAAGTGTCCTAGATTCTAAAATTCTACAAATATGAGCACCTTCTTAGCGGGATCATCCTGAATCCTGATGCTAAGTATCCTAGATTCTAAAATTCTACAAATATGAGCACCTTCTGAGCGGGATCATCCTGATGCTAAGTTTCCTAGATTCTAAATTTTTACAAATATGAGCACCTTCTAACTTCTGAGCGGGATCATCCTGATGCTAAGTATCCTAGATTCTAAAATTCTACAAATATGAGCACCTTCTGGGCGGGATCATCCTGATGCTAAGTATCCTAGATTCTAAATTTTTACAAATATGAGCACCTTCTGAGCGGGATCATCCTGAATCCTGATGCTAAGTATCCTAGATTCTAAAATTCTACAAATATGAGCACCTTCTGAGCGGGATCATCCTGATGCTAAGTATCCTAGATTCTAAAGTTCTACAAATATGAGCACCCTCTGAACGGGATCATCCTGATGCTAAGTATCCTAGATTCTAAATTTTTACAAATATGTGCACCTTCTGAGCGGGATCATCCTGATGCTAAGTGCCCTAGATTCTAAAGTTCTACAAATATGAGCACCTTCTGAGCGGGATCATCCTGATGCTAAGTATTCTAGATTCTAAAGTTTTACAAATATGAGCACCTTCTGAACTGGATCATCCTGATGCTAAGTATCCTAGATTCTAAATTTTTACAAATATGTGCACCTTCTGGCTGGGATCATCCTGATGCTAAGTATCCTAGATTTTAAATTTTTACAAATATGAGGGCCTTCCGAATGGGATCTTTTTGATGCTATGGCTTTCCGAACGAGATCATTAATACATTAATGATAGATACATCGTTTCAATTTTGAGCTTAGTGACAAGAAGTAGGCACTCTTAATGGATCTACTGAATGGTCATCACCATGGTAACGTGACAAGAAGTAGGCACTCTCAATGGATCTACTGAATGGTCATCACCATAGTAACGTGACAAGAAGTAGGCACTTTCACTGGATCTACTGAATGGTCATCACCATGGTAATGTGACAAGAAGTAGGCACTTCTACTGGATCTACTGAATGGTCATCACCATGGTAACGTGACAAGAAGTAGGCACTCTTAATGGATCTACTGAATGGTCATCACCATAGTAACGTGACAAGAAGTAGGCACTTCTACTGGATCACGTGATATTGTACCTTTTTCCTTTGCTGTGAGCAGTCTTTAAACACGCTTACATTCGGACTGTTTGCTAAGGATCTGCCCAAGCAAATCCGGTTATGAGAGAAAATGAGATCATTACAGAAACTGATCCTGATGATGAGGGAGAGAAGGAGTCTTCGCGCACCACCACACATTGTATTTTCGAGCACACCAAACATAGCAAAGAAAGTGGCTGCATACCTTCACGAAATTAGGAAAATCACTTCATGTAATATCTGGGAAGACACGTCGCATTAGTCACGTATATTTCAAGGCAAACTGAACGACTCTCATAAGGCATGATCACATGATTACGGGCTAAGTATTTTCCTGTTATTAACATTACCTTTCCTTGGTCGTGCAGACACCCATGTATTTCTATCGTTCCTTGTCTATTTGCTGTCTTTTCTCCCTCACACTCGGCGATCATCACCACCTTCACACACACGCCCCTCATACCGCCTATTTGTGTACTGATTCCCGTGCTGACGGAACCACCCGTTCTCCTCAGCAGAGCAGATTTATGTGAAATTAGCAGTTATACTCGATTTGAGTTTTCTGGAGGAGAGATTGGCTAATTAATAGCATCTAAATGCGATCCTCACAACTCACATCCGCGTCTTGTGCTCAGCTCACCTCGTTACAGTTACGTTTATTGTTATACCGCTGCCCAGTTCAACACGCATCTTTCTTCTCACTTCATCTCCAACACTTCACCCGGCGGAGAGGGTTTTGGGTCCTGGGTCTTGTGAGGGCGAGGTGGAGAGGGGAGGTGTTTTTTTGGTGTGCCAAGGTTTCCGTTTAATTCGTAATTGGATGAAATTATGTCGGGTTGGAGTGTCATAAATACGTTCATATATATGAAGATACTGTTGTGTTTACCGTGCCTCACTAATTTCGTGATCTACTCTTTTTGCCACTTTTATTGTATTAGGTCGCCACAACAAAATATAGCCGCACCACACAGTTAACACACAGTTAACGCGCGGATGTCTCTCTCTCTCACAGGCTTTGCTGTAAGTGTGATCGTTAATTGATCATCATTAAAATGGTCTCTCCTGTCTTAAATTTTTGAACGTTGCAGCAGTGTAACTCGGTTGCTGCTTCATGCTGCCTTGTTGTTGCAGCGCGGGAGAAGCATTGTACTGCTGTCAAGCAAACCTTCCCCACCCCCTCTCTCTCGCGGTGCAGCGACTAAAACCCCCCCCTCTCTCTCTCTCTCTCTCTCTCCTCTCTCCTCTCTCTCTCTCCTCTCTCTCTCCTCTCTCTCTCTCTCTCTCTCTCTCTCTCTCTCTCCTCTCTCTCTCTCTCTCTCTCCTCTCTCTCTCTCTCTCTCTCTCTCTCTCTCTCTCCTCTCTCTCTCTCTCTCTCTCTCTCCTCTCTCTCTCTCTCTCTCTCTCACTCTCTCTCTCTCTCTCTCTCTCTCTCTCTCTCTCTCTCTCTCTCTCTCTCTCTCTCTCTCTCTCTCTCTCTCTCTCTCTCTCTCTCTCTCTCTCTCTCTCTCTCTCTCTCTCTCTCTCTCTCCTCTCTCTCTCTCTCTCTCTCTCTCTCTCTCTCTCTCTCTCTCTCTCTCTCTCTCTCTCTCTCTCTCTCCTCTCTCTCTCTCTCTCTCTCTCTCTCTCTCTCTCTCCTCTCTCTCTCTCTCTCTCTCTCTCTCTCTCTCTCTCTCTCTCTCTCTCTCTCTCTCTCTCTCTCTCTCTCTCTCTCTCTCTCTCTCTCTCTCTCACTCTCTCTCTCTCTCTCTCTCTCTCTCTCTCTCTCTCTCTCTCTCTCTCTCTCTCTCTCTCTCTCTCTCTCTCTCTCTCTCTCTCTCTCTCTCTCTCTCTCTCTCTCTCTCTCTCTCTCTCTCTCTCTCTCTCTCTCTCTCTCTCTCTCTCTCTCTCTCTCTCTCTCTCACTCTCTCTCACTCACCCGGAGTCGAGTAGTGAGAGACCACTAAAATTAGATTCACAGCGCCAAACGTAGGAATGCCACTTGGAAGTGTTAATACTTGTTTTAGTCGCTGCACCGCCGTATTGTATGCCTTCAATCTGTTTGTTAGATTGCTTTTGTTTCATTTTTGAACCCATTTTAAGTTGTTCATGATCTTGACGATTAAAATTAAACTGCCGAAAGCAGTTTTGTCTGTTCCAGTGTAATTCTGTTTCGAAACTTTCAGTAATAAAACTATAAACTGCATACATTGAGTTAAGAAACTATAAAATTGCTACTATATTTCAGCTACAGAATACTACCTGCTAATATGTACACAGCTTATAATAAACCTAAAATGTTTGCTCTTTATATTGCAATGTATTGAGTAGCCGATATAACATACAACAAGCCGTGTGTGTGTGTGTACAAACAGGTGTTCCACACGTACTGGTTTACAATTCTAATCCTAACACTACCATATAAGGGTATATCACTATGGTAACACAACCATATTAGGTGATGTTATAACCCTAACCTTAACGTTTCAACACCATCTAGGAAGAACCACACCAACCCTAAAATGTAAAGCTGCTAAGACCGGAGTCTTGAACATCAGATTCGCGGTAATCATGTCAAACCCTGTAGAAAGAAACAACTCGGTCTTTGGCGATGAATCAACCACCACGGCCAGTAGGGCAGGCCGCATTTCTACCGCCGCCTCAACAAAATCGGTAAGAGTTTTTTCGCTTAGATGGTGGATTTTATCCTTTGATATCTAAGCCTAGTGGGTTATGATGATGGGTGGTATGATTACAGTGGTTTAGGAAAGGGTTTGGTGTGAGGTAGCAGTAGCTATAAGGAAGCTCTTAGGAAATGGTATATAACCTTGGGTGTGAAAATGATCGTTGCCCGGAAATTAGCTTCCGTAAAATTTTGTACGGCAATTTTTGTGATTTAAAGTTTTACAAAATTTCTTACATCAAGGACGATGTATTACTAATTCTGCAGAAATGTCACAAGGAGAAAAACATTTTTTCGACAAAGTACCGCGAATTTTTATGTGTTCATGTTTAGATTGTTAACTTATCTTACTTTCAATTTGACTAATAACGTATGGAATGATAGAAATTCAATTTCCTAAAAATGTTTGCGTAGAAACTTATATCTGCAATAATAGATGTCGTCACCACTTTATTTCGTCTCGGATTTTATTCGGCATTATAACACTTTTGCACCTGAGGTAGGTTCTGGGTTCATAGTTAGGATTATATAAATTATTAAGACTTCATAGAATTAAACGTAGAGGCAAAAATTTAAGCAACCCTAGATAGTCCCTCGTCTTTAGTCTTTGATTCTCGGGACATTAAAGTTCTGAAAATTCAAACGATTATCAGGTATCCCTGTCCTAAGCGTTCTGCTTTTCAACTTAACTAGAACTTTACGACTAGATTTACGTCCCATGCGACAGGTTGAAACAGTATATTTTGAATTTGACGGGATACTGCAAGGTGCTGATTGTTAAGTATATATTTATAGCAACAAGTGCTACAGTCAACAAATCTAATCAAACTTTTACAGACTTTCAGTATCACCGACTTCAGGATGGGTAGCAACATAAAGTTTACATTCAGCAAGGAAAAATCTCTCTTTATATTCGCTCCCACACACCCAATCCGAACCTTCTGCGTGAGGTTCATCTGCAACCAGTGGTTCGACCATTTCATCATCACAGTTATTTTGATAAATTGCGTGTTATTAGCAATGAACTTCGAAAACTTCAAAGTCGAGTAAGTACAAGGTTGAGAGTTACAGTTTTACTTTTTCTGCATTCTATAGTTCTATAGTACGAGCACTAGTCGGGTATATAGATATATATCATATATAAATATACATATAATATATATATTTATAATATGTGTGTGTTAAAACAAGTCTTCATGTTAAGAAATAGGTGCGTGTGTGTACCTAACAGTGTATTCAACTATTCTACCTACCTTTACAAATACTAACGAACATAGCAGTGAACATTGTTCACTGCTAAAGGCGGGTATCTTTATTATACCGATGATTTTTATGGCGGCCTGTCGGCCCTGGCACACATTTTAAAGTTCCCCAATATGGGTTTAACACGGACTTAGATTAACACTGATAATGGTTAAATGTCAATGATAAATTATATGACGGGCGAAAGAAAACAACACTTTCCTTTTCTAAACCATGTCATGGATCGGATCAATCCAAACAGGTTATTCCTTTATTCCCGATTTCGTCATCTTTTCACAAAATGAAAAGTTTCGTAATTTTAGGGTTAATGATCCATCCCTGCGTTACACACTACTACTCACCCGCCACAACTTCCTGCCTCATTCAGCTAATACTGATCGCTAAGTGGCAAAACCAATTATTGAGATGAGTGATTTAATAGCACTTGCTCTCCTGCGAGGAGGAATTTGTTGCAGAAATAAATAAAACATTTATGGAGGAGTTATTTCTATATAAGACTTACTCACCACATAGTACACCGGAGTTCTGTTGAAACTCCGGCAAATTACCTCACTAGTTTGAACTTACGAATTACGTAGTATTTCCGGGGCGGGAATGATCCGCCAACCTCTGGGTTACATGCCTGGTGCTCTATCAATTGAGCTACCGGCCCTATTTGAGTTTTCTGAATTATATAGCAGTGAAAATCGTGTCCGTTCAAATATTTGCTTGTATACAGTAGAATTCTAGCCCCCCCCCCCCCCCCCCCCCCCCATCAATGAATCGGGCGATTACACCACTTTTAGAGTAGGTTAGAGCAGGCGTGCACCACCCAGTACATTCAAAATGATAACTAACCGAATTAAAAATATTACGTAGTATTGGTTGATGATTAAGTTAATTATAATCTCTTACATCATACAAATTCAATATAATATCCAGGATGCAATCATTCCGCCGATGATATTATCTCACAAAATATGGATCATGGTGCTCCCCATTTATGGCTCATTATTATTTATGACGAAAAAGTTGTAATATGCAAAACTTAAATACCAGTCCAAACAGCAAGCTAGTCGCATGTGGCAAATAAAAGGTACTGGCTAGGGAAACACAGTGAAACTGATAGTTACATGAATTATTACCAATTAATACACGGCGAGGAGGGAAAATCAGAAATTAAATTTCCCAACAATTAATGCGTGGAATTTCCAAATCATTAACACCAGCAAATACATGACTGAATCAGTAACCATGGTAATCAAGAGAATTAGTAACCTTGGTAACCACAGGCTTTAAGATGGTTTACGCTCCTTTTCTGGCGCCCTTTTACCGCACACAAATTATTTCACACTAGGCATGATTGCTACAAAATACACATTAAATAGCTATTAGCCCGTCAACGATATTCCACAATTTTTTCCTGTACCTAAAAATAAATTTTGCTGTTATTATCCTATATGAGCAGCACGGAATATAAGCTCTGCTGTTTGCGTGTTAATAACCCGAGACCTGGTGGAAGCGGAGGTTTTATTCACCTCAGAATATACTAATATAAAAACTAGAGGTTTTATTCACCTTAGAGCATAGAAATAATTAGAAACTAGAGGTTTTATTCACCTTAGATCATAGAAACTAGAGGTTTTACTCACCTTAAATCATAGAAACTAGAGGTTTTATTCACCTTAGAGCATAGAAGCTAGAGGTTTTATTTGCCTCAGAGCATAAACATCAGAAGCTTATAATATATAAATTATAGGTTTTATTCAACTAATTAGAATAAATAAATTGAGGTTTATTCACATTATAATTTAGGAATTAGAGGTTTTATTCACCTTATAATATAGAAATTATAAGTTAATTTCACCTTAGACAATAGAAATTACGAATAAACAACGCTGACGTTTCCTTAAAGTCGACTACATAGTTACATATTATCCAGTGCACACATACAGCCGGCTTCATGATAAAATCACCCTTTACAGCTCACATTAGTAGTTAGTGGTGAGATTTGTCTCACCGCATCACCTGTTGAGTTGGTATTCCGGGAACACGGCCGCTTTTCCATTTCCAGGAATATGCTGCTAACTAATAGAGCGTTGTTAAAAGTGTATAAACTATAGCCACTTTTAGGTGTTTTCCGTATTAAGTTATCGAAAACCCTTGACAAGTATATCTGGAACAGTATAAAAATAATACACATACTTTGAATTTTCAAACAAAATTAAGTGTTCGTATATCAGGAGTTTTTAACGAAAACTATTTTTACACGTACAATAAATATTTGACGAGGTTTCCTGGCATTCCATGAAAAAGGCCGCCCTGAACAATGATGTGCCCGTAATCGATATCAAGTTGAATGTATATCAACGGTTTGATTAGCCGCTCTGATGAGAGAGGCATGCTAATAGGCTTTCTTGTTAGGACACACCAACGGCCGGAGTTAACCATGAGAATGCCATTAAAATCATCAACTTGTGACAGTTTAAGAAACATGCCAGACCTGCCGCTTATTTTTGTTATAGTTGAAATTAAAATTGAATTTTTAGAAATTGAATTAAGATCATTGGTACAATTGAGTAATTTTACACTCAGAATAATATTGTTTTTATATTTATGTATATTGGAAGCATCAAATTCTCAAAATCAGGAGCTGTCACGTGACACTAAGAGTATCTTACGAAATTACTAAACACTGCATTTCAGACTTAATATTTTGAAACCCATAATTTGTTCAGGATTGATCCGTTTTATTAACGAACGAAACGAAACGAAACACATTAGGCCGCTCCTATGCTGAAAATATATCGTATAAGATATAACTAAATAATTTACACAATAATCTCTAATTAGCGGCTCTTCTCAAAACCTTTCTCTCCTCATCGGAGCAAAAGTTTTAAAACAAACACGGGTCTCATAATAGTAAAAATACCAAATAAGGTTAAAGTGATATCATTAGATTAACGGGTGGAGAAGAAATGGTAATAGTATACATACAATATAATTGATTTTATTGATACAACCTCCATCATTGATCATCGTGAGGACTTCAAACAACGAATCTTTAAAAGAAACTCAATTCTATTGTAAGACCAGTATGGTCATATTTCTCTCCATCGGAAATCATATGGTTCCCATATTTATTATAAACTTTGTAGGTACAGACCTATATTATTAATGATTATATATATATGAAGCAGGGAAGGTTGTTGAGGACTATTTATAGTTATAAATGACTATATATATATAAGGTTATGAATACTTTACTATAAATAGTAAAAAGGATGAAAATAAATTTTTAGCAGGCGACTGAATTCAAAAATGTCCATCACCAGTACTCAATGACTAGACGGTGTTGTAGTAATGAAAAACATGATAGCGTCTAGTGGACTTGGGATCAGCTCACACAAAACATTGCTGTCCTCTGAATACCATTATTATATTATATTACACGTATATAATATATTTAATATTATATATATTAACATATTAAATTATTTTTTATAAACCAGTGTTGAAAGAATTCAAAGATATGCTATACATAAGCTATAAGTAAGTATATTCGAATAGCTGGAAGTGTCTGTAAAGTTGTGTGTTTTCAGTTTAAAGCCAACAAAATCTCGTTAAACCCGTCTAAAGGTCTAACAACGGTGGCTGAAAAGTCTGAAGATTGACACCCGACTCCAAGGTTAAACGATGTAATTTTTTTTCAGGATGCTATTCGCAGTCATCTACACGATGGAGATGATTATAAAAGTAATAGCCAGAGGATTTACACTTCACAAACATGCTTATCTGCGAGATCCCTGGAATCGACTTGATTTTTTAGTTGTTATGTTTGGGTGAGCATAAAGTTTATGAACCTTCTTTAAGTTTTAAATCCTGAACTCGATCGAATAAACGATTGATTTTTATTCGCCATTCTTTGCTTATCACTACCGAATGGAAGCAGTTGCAATTTTTCCCACATCATTTATAGGGGCCAGTATTCCTCCCACGATAATTTAAAAGATTGAAAATAAGTAAAAACTGTGACGAAAATGAAACTAATGATGCACCTTTGTTGGACTAACAATCATACAATACGCTCTTATTTGCCCTATTGAACAAATCTTTGATATTTAACCAATCGTTTGACCAATTTTAGATCAATATTTTACAAATCTAAGAACTACCTGGACCAATCGTGAACCTCAGTTACTGTCAGTAATTAACTATGACACATATTAGTTCAGTCATTGATCCATTCTCCAATATTGGCCCAAGTGATGACGATTGTAAACTCATTTAATCCAACAACGCGGTTCATTATTCAACTAAATATTGCGGAAGTACTACACATTTTACCAGAGGTCAAACTAAAACAACTACAAAATGTTTAATTAAAACAGAATCAAATCACAATCTAGACCCTTCCCTTCAGCGCTCCAGCTTCTTTCACCTCCACCATGTTAAAGGTTGTCGTCTCCGCCCTCTTTTCGGAGGCTCAAAAAGTTTTAAGAAATATCTGACACCTCCAGGCTCCAGCATTCTCCTCCTGCAATACATTTAGTGCACTTAGTGAATTAGAAGCACCCAAACTGACCCCCATCTAATTCAACACTTTTGGAAAATGGCTTCCTTGACCCATTCTTCTGTATTTCGGACCATTGATCTATTCGGTAGTTAGAAGTTAAAGGAGTATACACTATTATGTTGTCTATAAAGACAAAATTCACAAATTATTATTACTGTATTTATCGTGCCCAAGTTTAATTAAATTTCTTAACCTATGAACTATCCCCAGGTATTTAACGTTAATAGAGGCATTGAGCAATTTAGCATTTATAAAAGCACTGAGAGTGCTACGATCCTTAAAAGTTATCACGGTTGTACCCGGTAAGTTAGTCTGTATGTTTGTGTGTATGTATGTGTGTATGTTTGTGTGTATGTATGTGTGTATGTATGTGTGTATATTTTTTAGTTTGTACCCGCCGCGTCTGTTTGTCAGTTTGATAGCAAGTTTTACCTGATCACAGTATTTTACTAAGCCCGTACACTATTAAAAGATAGTATTATGTTTGTTTGTCTGTTTGTCAGTTTGATAGCAAGTTTTACCTGATCACAGTATTTTACTAAGCCCGTACACTATTAAAAGATAGTATTATGTTTGTTCGTCTGTTTGTCAGTTTGATAGCAAGTTTTACCTGATCACAGTATTTTACTAAGCCCGTACACTATTAAAAGATAGTATTATGTTTGTTCGTCTGTTTGTCAGTTTGATAGCAAGTTTTACCTGATCACAGTATTTTACTAAGCCCGTACACTATTAAAAGATAGTATTATGTTTGTTCGTCTGTTTGTCAGTTTGATAGCAAGTTTTACCTGATCACAGTATTTTACTAAGCCCGTACACTATTAAAAGATAGTATTGTGTTTGTTCGTCTGTTTGTCAGTTTGATAGCAAGTTTTACCTGATCACAGTATTTTACTAAGCCCGTACACTATTAAAAGATAGTATTATGTTTGTTCGTCTGTTTGTCAGTTTGATAGCAAGTTTTACCTGATCACAATATTTTACTAAGCCCGTACACTATTAAAAGATAGTATTATGTTTGTTCGTCTGTTTGTCAGTTTGATAGTAAGTTTTACCTGATCACAGTATTTTACTAAGCCCGTACACTATTAAAAGATAGTATTGTGTTTGTTCGTCTGTTTGTCAGTTTGTTAGTAAGTTTTACCTGATCACAGTATTTTACTAAGCCCGTACACTATTAAAAGATAGTATTATGTTTGTTCGTCTGTTTGTCAGTTTGATAGCAAGTTTTACCTGATCACAGTATTTTACTAAGCCCGTACACTATTAAAAGATAGTATTGTGTTTGTTCGTCTGTTTGTCAGTTTGATAGCAAGTTTTACCTGATCACAGTATTTTACTAAGCCCGTACACTATTAAAAGATAGTATTATGTTTGTTCGTCTGTTTGTCAGTTTGATAGCAAGTTTTACCTGATCACAGTATTTTACTAAGCCCGTACACTATTAAAAGATAGTATTGTGTTTGTTCGTCTGTTTGTCAGTTTGTTAGTAAGTTTTACCTGATCACAGTATTTTACTAAGCCCGTACACTATTAAAAGATAGTATTATGTTTGTTCGTCTGTTTGTCAGTTTGTTAGTAAGTTTTACCTGATCACAGTATTTTACTAAGCCCGTACACTATTAAAAGATAGTATTATGTTTGTTCGTCTGTTTGTCAGTTTGATAGCAAGTTTTACCTGATCACAGTATTTTACTAAGCCCGTACACTATTAAAAGATAGTATTGTGTTTGTTCGTCTGTTTGTCAGTTTGTTAGTAAGTTTTACCTGATCACAGTATTTTACTAAGCCCGTACACTATTAAAAGATAATATTGTGTTTGTTCGTCTGTTTGTCAGTTTGTTAGTAAGTTTTACCTGATCACAGTATTTTACTAAGCCCGTACACTATTAAAAGATAGTATTATGTTTGTTTGTCTGTTTGTCAGTTTGATAGCAAGTTTTACCTGATCACAGTATTTTACTAAGCCCGTACACTATTAAAAGATAGTATTGTGTTTGTTCGTCTGTTTGTCAGTTTGTTAGTAAGTTTTACCTGATCACAGTATTTTACTAAGCCCGTACACTATTAAAAGATAGTATTATGTTTGTTTGTCTGTTTGTCAGTTTGATAGCAAGTTTTACCTGATCACAGTATTTTACTAAGCCCGTACACTATTAAAAGATAGTATTGTGTTTGTTCGTCTGTTTGTCAGTTTGATAGCAAGTTTTACCTGATCACAGTATTTTATTAAGCCCGTACACTATTAAAAGATAGTATTATGTTTGTTCGTCTGTTTGTCAGTTTGATAACAAGTTTTACCTGATCACAGTATTTTACTAAGCCCGTACACTATTAAAAGATAGTATTGTGTTTGTTCGTCTGTTTGTCAGTTTGATAGCAAGTTTTACCTGATCACAGTATTTTATTAAGCCCGTACACTATTAAAAGATAGTATTATGTTTGTTCGTCTGTTTGTCAGTTTGATAACAAGTTTTACCTGATCACAGTATTTTACTAAGCCCGTACACTATTAAAAGATAATATTGTGTTTGTTCGTCTGTTTGTCAGTTTGATAGCAAGTTTTACCTGATCACAGTATTTTATTAAGCCCGTACACTATTAAAAGATAATATTGTGTTTGTTCGTCTGTTTGTCAGTTTGATAACAAGTTTTACCTAATCACAGTATTTTACTAAGCCCGTACACTATTAAAAGATAATATTGTGTTTGTTCGTCTGTTTGTCAGTTTGTTAGTAAGTTTTACCTGATCACAGTATTTTACTAAGCCCGTACACTATTAAAAGATAGTATTGTGTTTGTTCGTCTGTTTGTCAGTTTGTTAGTAAGTTTTACCTGATCACAGTATTTTACTAAGCCCGTACACTATTAAAAGATAGTATTATGTTTGTTCGTCTGTTTGTCAGTTTGATAACAAGTTTTACCTGATCACAGTATTTTACTAAGCCCGTACACTATTAAAAGATAGTATTGTGTTTGTTCGTCTGTTTGTCAGTTTGTTAGTAAGTTTTACCTGATCACAGTATTTTACTAAGCCCGTACACTATTAAAAGATAATATTGTGTTTGTTCGTCTGTTTGTCAGTTTGATAACAAGTTTTACCTGATCACAGTATTTTACTAAGCCCGTACACTATTAAAAGATAGTATTGTGTTTGTTCGTCTGTTTGTCAGTTTGTTAGTAAGTTTTACCTGATCACAGTATTTTACTAAGCCCGTACACTATTAAAAGATAGTATTGTGTTTGTTCGTCTGTTTGTCAGTTTGATAGCAAGTTTTACCTGATCACAGTATTTTACTAAGCCCGTACACTATTAAAAGATAGTATTATGTTTGTTCGTCTGTTTGTCAGTTTGATAGCAAGTTTTACCTGATCACAGTATTTTACTAAGCCCGTACACTATTAAAAGATAGTATTGTGTTTGTTCGTCTGTTTGTCAGTTTGTTAGTAAGTTTTACCTGATCACAGTATTTTACTAAGCCCGTACACTATTAAAAGATAGTATTGTGTTTGTTCGTCTGTTTGTCAGTTTGATAGTAAGTTTTACCTGATCACAGTATTTTACTAAGCCCGTACACTATTAAAAGATAATATTGTGTTTGTTCGTCTGTTTGTCAGTTTGATAACAAGTTTTACCTGATCACAGTATTTTACTAAGCCCGTACACTATTAAAAGATAGTATTGTGTTTGTTCGTCTGTTTGTCAGTTTGATAGCAAGTTTTACCTGATCACAGTATTTTACTAAGCCCGTACACTATTAAAAGATAGTATTGTGTTTGTTCGTCTGTTTGTCAGTTTGATAGCAAGTTTTACCTGATCACAGTATTTTACTAAGCCCGTACACTATTAAAAGATAGTATTGTGTTTGTTCGTCTGTTTGTCAGTTTGATAGTAAGTTTTACCTGATCACAGTATTTTACTAAGCCCGTACACTATTAAAAGATAGTATTGTGTTTGTTCGTCTGTTTGTCAGTTTGATAGCAAGTTTTACCTGATCACAGTATTTTACTAAGCCCGTACACTATTAAAAGATAATATTGTGTTTGTTCGTCTGTTTGTCAGTTTGATAGCAAGTTTTACCTGATCACAGTATTTTACTAAGCCCGTACACTATTAAAAGATAGTATTGTGTTTGTTCGTCTGTTTGTCAGTTTGTTAGTAAGTTTTACCTGATCACAGTATTTTACTAAGCCCGTACACTATTAAAAGATAGTATTGTGTTTGTTCGTCTGTTTGTCAGTTTGATAGCAAGTTTTACCTGATCACAGTATTTTACTAAGCCCGTACACTATTAAAAGATAGTATTGTGTTTGTTAGTCTGTTTGTCAGTTTGTTAGTAAGTTTTACCTGATCACAGTATTTTACTAAGCCCGTACACTATTAAAAGATAGTATTATGTTTGTTCGTCTGTTTGTCAGTTTGTTAGTAAGTTTTACCTGATCACAGTATTTTACTAAGCCCGTACACTATTAAAAGATAGTATTATGTTTGTTCGTCTGTTTGTCAGTTTGATAGCAAGTTTTACCTGATCACAGTATTTTACTAAGCCCGTACACTATTAAAAGATAGTATTGTGTTTGTTCGTCTGTTTGTCAGTTTGTTAGTAAGTTTTACCTGATCACAGTATTTTACTAAGCCCGTACACTATTAAAAGATAATATTGTGTTTGTTCGTCTGTTTGTCAGTTTGATAGCAAGTTTTACCTGATCACAGTATTTTACTAAGCCCGTACACTATTAAAAGATAATAGCGCGCTCTCTCTGTCTGATGTTTCCTCAATTATAAACTCTTTGGGCATAACACACAATCCCGGTGTTATAGTAATTGCTAATTTTACCAGCTGGAGCTCTAGCTTCTACGCAACAAAATGATCATCTTACAGTATGCGTGTACTGGCCATATGCTGATTAAATCCAGCTTGTCGCATGCAAAATATCTCTAGCGATAAATTTCCCAGGGTTACGTATAATGCTGGACTTCAGTAACCCCAGTAACCCCAGTAACCCCAGTAACCCCAGTAACCCCAGTAACCCCAGTAACCCCAGTAACCCCAGTAACCCCAGTAACCCCAGTAACCCCAGTAACCCCAGTAACCCCAGTAACCCCAGTAACCCCAGTAACCCCAGTAACCCCAGTAACCCCAGTAACCCCAGTAACCCCAGTAACCTCAGTAACCCCAGTAACCCCAGTTACCCCAGTAACCCCAGTAACCCCAGTAACCCCAGTAACCCCAGTAACCCCAGTAACCCCAGTAGGCCAGTAACCCCAGTAACCCCAGTAACCCCAGTAACCCCAGTAACCCCAGTAACCCCAGTAACCCCAGTAACCCCAGTAACCCCAGTAACCCCAGTAACCCCAGTAACCCCAGTAACCCCAGTAACCCCAGTAACCCCAGTAACCCCAGTAACCCCAGTAACCCCAGTAACCCCAGTAACCCCAGTAACTCCAGTAACCCCAGTAACCCCAGTAACCCCAGTAATCCCCAGGGTTACGTATAATGGTGAACTCCCTCCTCAAATCCCTCAAGAACTTGTCAGACGTCATGCTGTTGACGGTGTTCTTTCTAGCCGTCTTTGCTATTATCGGACTGCAACTCTTCATGGGCAACCTCAGAAACAGATGTGTCTTTGATCCACTTCCAAACGAACATCCGTATTACTATACGTTATTAGTAGACCCGGAAAATCCTGGAAATTGGACGGATGGAGAAGGAACAGAGAGGCCTCTGAAAGATTGGATGTTTGATTACATCAACGATGAAGACAACTGGATGACATTGAACGGAGGAGAAGATAACATTATCTGTGGGGCCTTAGGAGCACCGTGAGTAAACTAGTTCACCATAAGGGGACTCACGTCTAGAACACAAGAAACATAACTTACAGTATTGCAGTACGTGTTTTAATTAGATAAAGTGCGCACTTTTTAGTCATTCACTCAATATCCTTTACCCCAGTGGAACCCGACAATGTCCCTTGGGGAGCAGTTGTCAAAACACCGAGACGAATCCTAACTCGGGATACACCAGCTTCGACAACTTTGGAATTGCTATGCTGACCTGTGCTCAGCTCATCACCCTGGACTATTGGGAGGATGTTTACAGCAAGGTTCGAAGGAAAACATCATTAATTATCGTTTATCAATTATTTTAGCCTGTTTTTACGAAAAAACAAAAAGTAACGGGTCGTACGAAATTAAAAAGAACACATATTTTCAATTCATATTTTCAGATTCTGGGAGCAAGTGGTGCCATGTACATTGTCTACTTTCTCTGCATTCTCCTTTTCGGATCATTCTACCTGATTAACTTGGTTTTGGCCGTCGTAGCTATCTCGTACGAGCAAGAAGCCCTAGGAGGCGACGGTGACGAAAAGGACGAGGACCATTCCAGTATTGAGGAAGAAGCCGAAGAGAATAGGATCGAAGAGGAAGATGAGGATGATGATGATGATGAAACAACGACTCTAGCAGATGAAGACAACACGACAATTCCTCCAGCCGAGAAACCGACTATCCGTGAAAGGATAACAACGATGTGCTCTAAATGTTGCTGTTGTGTGAAATGTGCCAAGAAAGAGGAAAAAGCAGTGATTATCGAGATGGGTCCACCAGGGCTCACAATTGATGTGGATGCTGAAAAAGGCACAACGACAGTTTCGTCTGTGGCACCTTCAGTTCAAGACACGTGCAAGGAAGAGCTGTTGGATATCTGGACATGGTTTAGGTCTCATACTAAAAGTTTCATTTACTGTGTTTGGTTTGAGAATGGCATCATGTTGTGCATTATCGTGAATACCATGTGTCTGGCAATCGACTCTCCTGGCCTGAGTGTGTCCGTCAAAGACGTTTTGTCAGTCATCAACGACGTAAGTTCGTTATTGCTTACAACATTTATAGATAATGGATGTTCAATTAGCGAGAGCACACTTCTTTAATGAAACAACCGTTTAATTTTTTGATTTTAATATTTCCCATGATTAAGAAACTGATAGGACACAATTTGAAACATTTGGTTATCTCAATGCTTCAATATTGCGATACTTTTAACTGCTTTAAATCTTCAGGTTCTGTCGTGGATTTTCACAACAGAGTTGGCTATTAAGTTTGTTGGACTCCTCCCAGTCGAGTTTTGGCAGACCAAATGGAACATATTCGATACGATCATCGTGTTTATATCGCTGATTGAAATGAACCTGGGATCAAACACAAGCTTCAATGTTTCTGGATTGAGATCTCTGAGAGTGGTAAGTTACTTTATCTCCAACCATCCGCCTCAAAGTTCTCATCATATCTAAATACTACGCTATTTTACTGTAGAGAACCATGGGAATCCAATCGATATCAATTCAGCTCATTTTATTTATCTTTCAGTTACGAGTATTTCGGCTCGCAAAATCGTGGAGCACAATGAAAGCGCTGATTGACATTATCGCAGAGTCAATCTCTGGATTAGTGTATTTATCAGTGATATTGGGCGTTGTTATCTATGCATTATCAGTAATCGGGATGAATCTGTTTGAGCCTCTTTATAGTACTCACTATACTAAAGAAGATATGCCTCGATGGCATTTCTTGGATTTTAGCCATGCGTTCATCTTACTGTTTCGGATCCTTTGCGGAGAATGGATCGAATTGCTATATGAAACGCTCGATGCAACCAAGGGAAACTTTTGGCCAGTCATATTTTACATATGTGCTTTAGTAATGGGGAATTTCCTGATCTTGAACTTGTTCTTGGCTCTACTTCTCAACGCATTTGGGGAGGAAGCGCTCAATAAGAGTGATGACATAGACGGAGATCCGCCAGTTCCTCTGGGCACTCGAATAAAGAACAAGTTGCTAAGTTCGAGAAGGAAGAAACACAAAATGGCATCTGAAATACGAATGTCATCTCTGGCTCTAACTTCAAGTTCTGACGAGCAGATGAAACAGAACAACCCTCACAACTGTCCACACTCGGGAAAGTCAAACGGTAAACAAGAATGCGACAACTCCAAACACGAAAATGACACCGTTTCTAGTGAGTATAAGTTTAAGATAAGATAAGTTATACTTCTTCAGGATTTTATAAAAATTCACAATATTTCCAAGTAATGGCTGAGTAGTAACAGAATTCATTTATAAAATTAGTCACTTGGAGCAAGTAAAGTAACAATTTCCCTTCAGAGCACAGTGAAGAATCTGATGACGAGTTCATGCCTTCTAAGTGTTACGATTGCTGCCAATGTTGTTTGATGTGTTGCAGACCTTTCTGTGTTTGTTGCTCACGATTCCGAGCTTCCATACGGGCAGTTGTTGAGCACAACATGTTTGAGTACACCATTTTGGTTCTCATCATGGTTTCCAGCCTGACACTTGCTTTTGAGGATGTGTCCCTTGATCATGCTCCTATCAAACGGAAAGTTATCGACTGTTTGAATAACTTCTACACAGTGGTCTTTCTCATGGAGTTGATCCTCAAGATGTTTGCTTTTGGAGTTGCAGGCTACTTCTCATCTGCTTGGCATTGGCTGGATTCCATAGTTGTTGCTGTAAGTATTTTAGTTCACAAATTTACCCTAACCTAGACCAACTCACATATACTACTACTAGTATTGGACAATATATTGGTATTTTGACTTAATGTGCGATAAGATAATGCCGCTTTTATATGTTAAGAGCGTACACAACCAATAGAATGGGTTTTGAAATAGTGTTTTATATGAAAGTAATGAAATAGTGGGATGGGGAGACGGTGCTAAACTGAACTGTGACCACGTATGGAGGTGTGCATATCTATATCTATCTATATATATTACACATATATATATATATATATTAAATCCACGTACGAACTGTTACTTTAGTACTCGAAAGGTCTGAAATAATGAATGCTTTAACAACACTTTTACTAAATCAGTCTGTAACAAACCTTTCTTTTTCCGACAGATTTCTATAATAAGCATCATCCTCGCAAATGCTGGAATTGGTGGATTGAAGGCTATCCGAGCTCTCAGAGCTCTTCGACCGCTTAGAGCTATATCAAGATGGGAGGGTATGCGATTGTCAGTAAATGCCCTGATTGCCTCGATTCCATCGTTCGGAAATGTGTCTCTTGTGTGTCTGGTTTTGTGGCTGGTATTCTGGTAAGATCACGCTTGCAAAGTTAAAAAGCTTTAAATGTTTCCAATCCACTGTTATAATCGTCCAAATTAAATGTTTCGTATCGAACTGCTATAACTATATATATATGTATATATATATATAATATATGTATATATAAAACTCAGTCCCTAGTAGCTGAGTTTTAAACATAAGTTTGCAAAAATCTATCCCACATACACATTCTTTTCCCAAAGACTAATGCTTATTCAAAACTTTTCAGCATTCTAGCAGTGCAATTCTTTGGAGACAAGTTTTGGAAATGCTCTGATGATGATGGAATAATAAGTACCGAAATAGTAAAAAACAAAACTCAGTGCATCTCGTTGTATGGTGCCGAGGCGTGGCAGAACTCTGATATAAACTTCGACGACACAATGATGGCCTTCATTGCTTTATACCAAGTGGTAAGTTACTGAGATAGTTTGAAGGCAGGTACACTCAAAATGCTTCATTCAAAATACTCTATTTTAACGGCAAAACTCGAACATTATTGATTGATTAAATGAATAATATTCCAGGCTACCTTCGAAGGTTGGATGGAAGTTATGGACGACGCTGTCGATTCGACTGGAATAGACTTACAACCTGAATTTGAGGCCTCTTTCATAAGTTACATATTTTTCCTGGTGTTCATCTTTGTCGGATCGTTTTTCACCCTAAACTTGCTAGTAGGAGTCATTATCGACAACTTCAACCGACTCAAGAAGGAAGTAAGTGTCTTCAACAAGCTGGGCTGTAAACCATTGACTATAAATATTTACGATATCGAGTACACTTCAGATTGTGGGCAAATTTGAGTAGTCTCAAATCTTCTCGTTATGATTTTACCAGTCACACGACAGATCGAGAAATAGATAAATTAAAATGCCAAAATCATAGTCCATAAAACTATTTTATCTTAATTACAAATGACATATTCAGTATAACTATACATTCAGGGGTAAAATTACAAAAAAATCATTTCAGTATGAGGAAAAAGGCCAGCTTGGTGTACTACTCACCCCCGGACAAAGACAGTGGATGTCCACCTTCAGAAAGATGACTAAAACGAAGCCCATGAGAATGGTCAGCCCACCCAAAAATGACGTCATGAAAGTCTGCTACGTGATATCGGAAAGTCAGAAGTTCGAAATCCTGATCACAGCTGTCATCCTTCTCAACATGGTGCAGATGTGCATGGAGCACCACAATTCCACCCTAGAATTCCAAAATGCAATGTGGTGGGCCAATTTGGTATTTTCGATCATATACACGATTGAGGCAATCATAAAGCTGATCGGGCACCGGAAATTCTATTTCTACAAGAGCTGGAATGTTTTTGACTTCGTGATCGTATTGGCCGCCTGGTTTGGTATGATCATCGACATGATCGAGATGGATTCATTCATAGACCCGTCTATTTTGCGTTGCTTCCGAGTGTTCAGGGTGGCGAGAATCCTTAGAATCATTCAAATGGCGAAGGGAATTAGGCGACTGCTTTACACTTTGATCTGTTCTTTGCCAGCGCTGATGAATATCGGTACCTTGCTGCTGCTCATCATCTACATCTACTCTGTAGTGGGCGTCGCTATGTTTGGAACAGTCCAAATCCAAGGCATCCTGACTGATCAGGTTTGTATATTGCATTTGGCTACTTTATTAAAAAATTGCATGAGGATGATATTGATCAATATCTTAATGTTTTTTATTAACCAATTTGATGCAAAAGATTCAAAATCTTGGATAAGAAAACATTATGAATATAAAATCTATACATGAAAAGAAAGTTAAAACTTGATTCAATGCATTCTAACTCACGATTTTCAGCAAAACTTTGCGTCCACGGATACTGCTCTGATAATGATGACAAGGCTGGCAACTTCGGCAGGATGGAATGATGTCCTCGCCTCTATCATGATCAGTGAACCTGATTGTGATACCAATCTCTTCGATGGAAGCAAACCAGGCACACCTGGAAACTGCGGGTTTGGCGTGTTCGGTATCGCCTACTTCTCCTCATTTGTTCTCGTCGCATTTTTGGTGATGATTAACATGTACATCGCTGTCATCCTTGACAACTTTAGTGAGGCGCAACAAGCTGATGAAATAGGCATCGATGAGGACGACATCAACATATTCTATGAGAAGTGGATGTTGTTCGATCCGAAAGCGTCGCAGTTCCTAAACGTCAGTAAGCTGCGAGATTTAGTGCTGGCGCTGCAACCACCACTGGGCATTCCTGACGTCACAGAGGATGACATTCTCCACCTCGACATACCGCTCTATCCTACTGACAGAGCACATTGTATCGACGTCCTCCAAGCTCTTATATCTAGAACTCTAGGCCCAGAAAACCCTAACACCAGTGAGGAATTCGATATGATAAAAGAACTCATGGCAGAAAGCTTTAGATCGGCCTTCCCAACTCTGGCTGTCGAAGTCATCGAAACAACCACAAAACAAAGGCTGCGAGAAATCAGGGCTGCCATCGTCCTACAAAAGGCTCTGAGAAGGTTCAAGAACTATAAGAAGCAAGCTCCGCCCTCGCCATAAAGCTACAGGTTGTCGACCACCATATTATCACTAATCATATCTCGTGTAAACAGCCGCCAAAAGATCAAAGCCTCTAATATCGGACAGGACCATATTTTTATAATAGTAGAGATGATGAAATTAAGCAAAGGCTGGCTTTTTGTTTCTGTAATAAACTTGGCTGTCGACGTTTATCTTAGCGCCATGCAGGGTCGAATAACGAACAAACTTTAGCGAATACTTGGGTATGGATTAAAAATTAGTAGGACATAGGGAGTGTTTTAGCATTCGTTATTTTTAATGAGACTTGCAGCTACGATATTTTAAGGGAAATGGCTTATAATACGCTGTTTTGAGCCATCGATTAACATTAAGGTTGTCAATGATTCTGTTTCGATATACTCTGTAGTCTGTACCGTTTACCCTCACAATAATATGAAATCTGAAATCACAGATTTTTAGGCGGTAATCTTAGGCGATTCCGTGTAATTTTTTTCAAAAGGATCATGTTTCTCCGTAAACTTTTTTAGATAAGTGATTTATAATGCTATTGTTCAGTTACCTTCATACGTAATAGTCTTGGATTGATCAAAAGTTTCTTCCACTCCAGGATTTTTTTCAATTAATACGCCACGGGTGATTGATTATAATTGAAATGCAGGATGTCTTCTTTACGTCTGTATGGATATGTTAAACATCTAAACTAATCAAGTGTTGTATTTGTACTTTAAGAAAAATGAGAATTTCATTCGAGTCCAAAAAAGACAATTGAATCCTCATTATCCATCATACTGCAAATTAATTAGCAAAATCTAAAAATTCATATTCAAGTTTCGATACACGAAGATTTGTATAATTTATAAATGGCATTCTGCTCCGCTACCTCTCGTATTTTTACAAGAAATTGCGGCAAGTAAGATAGAACGGGAACCCATAATCAGGTGGGTATACACTGTGATGTTTAACAGCTCATGTTTTAAACTTGTGGTCGCGATACTGTAGAAGTACCTGCAAATATGCACAATACATACTCCAGTAATACTTTTATAAACCCCTTCCAATAATACTTTATAACCCCCCCCCCCCCCCCCCCCCCAGTAATACTTAATAACCCCCCTCCAGTAATACTTTATAACCCCCTTTTTTCCCGGTAATACTTCATAAACCCCCCCCCCCCCCCCCCCCCCAGTAATACTGTAATACTTTATAACTCCCCTCCAGTAATACTTCATAACCCCCTTTTTTTTCCGATAATACTTCATAAACCCCCTTTGGTAATACTTTATAACCCCCCCCCCCCCCCCCCCCCCCCCAGTAATACTTTTATAACTCCCCTCCGGTAATACTTCATAACGAGGTTAGGGTGCCAGGTTAGAATTACTGGGTAACAGGGTTATATCATGTATGTGACCGTTTAACTTGCGGGATCCGGCAGAAGAGCTGAAAATCTTACAGCAGCTTTTTAACTCAGGAAGATTCTTTTAACTTCGTTATTTGACGCTCAATGTTAAACCTCATCATTCACTAGCAGATACAACCAATGCTGTCTACTCCCGATGATGGCAGTAGACAGCACTACGATGGAAAGTGCATAAAGTATGGAGCTTTTGGCTTTTCGTCCCCATTGGAGGCGAAGCGCAGCAATTAGCAACCTCTGGAATACCTGGACGACCCAAGAAACTTTAATTTCAGAGTTAATCGAAAGCTACTGAAAGTGAAAGTTCTTGTTGACAGCTCTTCAGACATTTGACTTCACCACTGACCACAAGATCTTAAAAAGTTTCTAACTATTTTTTTTAATAATTGACACGTGAGACGTAATAAAATTTGAATGATCTAACATAACCGTCTGCGTTTTAGAACAAGTTTTATAAACTTCTGGATTCTGGAATATCCTTAATGTGGCCCAATTTAGGTCCAACTTCACTTATAGCGACTGAAAGTTGGTGTTAACTGTTAACAGCTTGACGCTAACAGTCACTGTCTGTTTGTTAGTGTCAAAGTGTTATCAAGCTGTTAACTGTGTGTTATTAACCGAGTGTTATAGACGATATATCTTAATATCTATCTTTACATTTGATTTTTAACCAAAAATAAAGGATTTAACTCCGGTTTTAACAATTGCCTTTATAAAAACTCTCGAGCGTACGGTATGGTCACGTGTTGTCAATTAAGCAATAAGTATTTGACCCTCCAGTGCTTGGTTCAGTTTTCAGAATATCTGTCCGTACGGCGTACAGGCTCGAGTTTCTGCCGGGTACCTACATGGCCTGGAATCTTTACTGTCGAGTTATTTATGAATGACTCAAACTTTTATAACTTTTGTATTTTCATCAAGGAGTTATATCCGTATTGTCAGTTTCTGAAGAAGTTATATTGTCAACAGTGAAAATATGTGTCTATTAGGGAATAGGGTTAAGCATTCTGCAGAACGAACCATTGCTAAATTAAGCCATATCAACCACCAAAACGATTGCTGATCCTGGAGTTTAGTGTCTCTTAAGAAAGGAATTTAGGCGGCCATTAATCAATAATAAACTTTCGTGTTTTTTATACATTTCTATGGTCCTTGTGCTCTTGAAGATATTTCTAATTCGAGCACTGGGGAAATCATAGAAAAGAAGAGAATTAAGTTGCAAGGTACGTGACACTAAAGTCCGAAAGTCTTCGTACAGCTTCAGAGCTATCTTGTATTGGGAAATTGATGGAGAAATTTTGAGTGTCATTCTTTTGCTACATCGACAACTACCATAGCCCGAGAGGAACAGTAGTGGCTAATGTTTAAAAATCAATTTACTTTCAGATTGTTACACTTATAGAGAATTCGCCGAAATACATGTCCTGTACATGCCTTGACAAGTGACAGAGTGTAAACAAAATAAGAAACACAAAATGACCAGTAAGCTAGTCATAGCAATTACATCGGACCCTATAGCAGATGTGGTGTAACTTTGCCTGATGGCGTTTTAGAGGATACGCCGGTAAAATCTCTACAAAAATCTCCCTATGAAATCTCTACAAGAATCTCTCTGTGATTCTAGAGCAAAACGCGCAGTTTTGCTAGTACCTCAGTTAAGTTTTTCAAAATTGTCCCACATTCAAACGATGATTTGGCGCCCCTCTGAAGCCCTAAGAAGCTAAGAGTAAGATGGCGCCACTAAGGGGCCATTTACTTAGTACGTCCACCAAAATCGCAGATTTTCAGACCACCCCTCCCCTTGTCCGGATGTCCGGATTTCCAGCTACTTTTAAGAGTACAAATAAAACCAACTCAAATTCATTGTTAATAAAATGTGTAGTTACTTAAAATAAACAATAATACACTTTATAGTGTCGAACAAGTTTAACACAGTTAAATGTAATTGTAAGTACATTTAAGTACTCGTTTAAAATACAGGGATCTAAACTTACAGAGTAATTTATGCCAAAGATTTAAAATAAATGGGACTTTTCCGTTAATTCTGCCAAAATTTCCGGACGTCCGGATTTTCAGAAACCACCCCCCTCTCCCTGTCCGGATTTGTCCGAAATTCCAAAACCACCCCGTCCCTATTTGCCGGACGTCCTAAGTAGATGGCTCCTTATATAATTATAACCAGTCTTCAGCATCCTCAAGCTTAATTTATATTTCGGTTTGACTGTGCGTTTTGCTCTAGAAACACACTTTTTTAGAGATTTTACCGGCGTATCCTCTAAAATAACCAAATTTGTTCAATTTTAGCAAGGGGCGCTAAAAGGGGAGGGGGCGCCAACATGGGGGCGCATTTTCGGCGGGGGGGGCGCCAACAGGCAACGTTACGCCATTCACTGTCTATGAATATGATCGGTTGATTGATCAGCCAATGAGAAAGCGGTATCGATTCTAGTCCCTTAATTTGTTTCCAAGCTATAGTCATAGATAGTCTCCTATTTCACTTCCGTTACTGGTCCCGCTAGGGCTAGATAGTTGCTAGCTCTTCGAATATTATTCTGATTTCAACTGTTTAATGCTGTTTTTGCGCAAAGCTCTCTCATCGGTTGATTGATCAGCCAATAAGAAAGCGGTATCGATTCTAGTCCCTTGGCCTTAACCTTTTTCCAAACCAGATACCTTATTTGAACAAAAATTAATTGAGGCCCTAGCCACAGCTGGAGACTAAAGTGCAAAGAAACTGCTGCTAACTGCTGCTAACTGCTGCTGACTGCTGCTAACTGCTGCTAACTGCTGCTAACTGCTGCTGACTGCTGCTAACTGCACTGCTAACTGCTGCTAACTGATGCTATAGCGTTCATCTTAATGTCCGTTCAAATAAAGTTTGTCCGTTCGGTTTAAGGTCCGTCTAAGTTAAAGTCCGCTTTACATTACGGTTTAATGGGTGATGCTCGTAAAATATTTCGTTCCAAGACCGTCAAAGAGTCCAACTATAAGGCGCGCGTCTTGGTCGGTTATAATTATAAACCTACAATATTACAGTACGTGTATTAATTTTTTTATCATAAGATTAATCATTGGCTCAATGAAAAACAAGTTGTTATAAAATTCAAATATTCTAAATATCAAACTATATGGCATGATCACTTTCTTGATCACTATCTTGATTTAACCCTAACGAGAAATTAGACCAACTTCCTTATAATATATTATTAATATTATTATAGGGTAATATCACGTGATCGAGACAGTTTTTCGCCGATATCTCGCCAGAGAAGCATTTTAACCCTATATTATGGGGTGATTCGGAATCAGCGTTCTTATTTGCGCACCATTATTTGACAGTTTTAGAAGGTTGAAACTCTGTCCAGAATTGGCTCTGTGGTACAGAGTATGGGCTCGATCAAGGGCTTTACTTTGCGACTTCTCCGTGACGGTTTATAAATTCGATGGTTATTGGTTTGTGACAATTGCTTGTGGTCCGAATGGACTATTATTGTCATTGATAATTGTGAGTAGCTGCAGATATCTAATGTTATTACCTCATGGATAATATAACGTTATGTTATGCTTTTTATCGTCTTACTGGGGGTGGAAAAAGTTCAAAATTCTATATACAATTCTGTATAACTATAATTTGACCAAAACCCATAATCATGGATAGAGTGGACCGCTGCCAGTGTCTCTCTCTCCCAAACAAAAAGAAATGATATTAATTTGAATCACCGTCCGCAAATGCAAAATGATACCGAAAATGAAATCGGTCGCTCGCTTTTCCCATTCATAATCTATTACTAACCATCAACAATGTCTAACTAAAAATTTCCTAGAATGTCTACATTTAGAAATAATCTCAGATCTTTTATTCATTGAGTCTGGATTCTTAAGGATGTGAAGCTTTTCGTTTAGGCAGAGGCCACAGTGCCCTGTCCCTGCCGTATAATTATTTGATTTAGTGATGATTTTCCAGTCTATACTATAGAACAGATCAGTTCTAGATCAAAAATTAAAACATTTAAACTATCTGTTTTTTTTATAAATTTCCTCGAAAAAAGCTTTCAACTAGCAGGTTTCTACTTACTTTGTTACTTTGTTGGGCTTCATAGATTCCTCTATCGGGCCATCGAAGAAGTCGACCCCCCGGACAGTATAGAAACTGTTTTATCACCACTCCAATTCAGCAAGGAGTTTCCATTCCGACGGCTGTATCCTGGAGCTGGAGGCTCGCCCGGAAATAACTTGACAAAGTTCGTTAAAGCTGCTTTGAATTGCATAGGATCCTCTATGGTGTGCATATGTGTTGGGATTACATTCCATAATCGAGGT